CTGGGAAAACTGGAAATCCATGTGCAACAAAATGAAATTGAACCTCTATCTCTCACCATGCACAAAACTTAACTCAAAATGGATCAAGGACCTAGGAATTAAATCAGAGACTCTGTGTCTAATTAGAAGAAAAAGTAGGCCCTAATCTTCATCATGTGGGATTAGGCCCCAACTTCCTTAATAAAACTCCTATAGCACAACAATTAAAAACAAGAATCAATAAATGGGATGGATTCAAACTAAAAAGTTTTTTTTTTTTTTATCAGCAAAAGAAACAATCTGTGAGGTGAATAGGGAGCCTACATCCTGGGAGCAAATTTTTACCCCTCACACATCAGATACAGCACTAATCTCTAGAATATATAAAGAACTCAAGAAGCTAAGCACCAAAAAGACAAATAACTCAATCAATAAATGGGCCAAGGACCTGAACAGACACTTCTCAGAAGAAGATACACAATCAATCAACAAATATATGAAAAAATGCTCATCATCTCTAGCAATCAGAGAAATGCAAATCAAAACTAGACTGGGAATTGATTACATGTTTCAATGAATCAACAGTTGGGGATGTCTGCCTTGCTTGAGAGTGAAGTCTGCTCAGACCTGCCCTTTTCATTAAGCCTTACCTCAAGAAGTTGGAAACTCTAGGTATTGTTATTACTTTTTAATTCACAAAACTAGAGAACAGACTCATCAATTTCAAAAACTTTATATCCTCAATGTAAACTAAATATTAGCAAATGTTTCTGATAGTGGAAAGACACTGCTTCAGCCACACCAAGCTGTGAGCTTACCTGAGGCAGGTAGGAGTGTGTTGTGTATGTGTGTGTGTGTGTGTATACACGCATGTGCGTGCCTGTGCTTTGCCTTGGAAGTTGAACCATATAAATCTTATATCAATACTAGACACTGTGGCCATGGGGAGATGTGACTGAAGTTAGTCACTCATTTTGTATTTAAATATTTATTTATGGTTCAGTAACCATACCTTCTTACAGGAATGGAGACCATGTCATCATGCCATTTAAAAATTCAGAAAATTAGTCCATTCTTTTTTTTTTTTTAACTCCATTCTTTACTGCCTTATTTAAGAAAATTTCTATGCAACCCGCTTTGATTCTGAAAGAACACAAATGCTTCTGCCTTCTGTGAAAATGATACACATAGTATTTGAATATTAGTGTTTTGCTGATTTTGTCATTACTTGGTGCTCTGTGTTTTCACATAAAAGTTAGGGTTTGCTAAGTTAATAATGATAAATTCATCCCACATAAGACATCAGAAATGTTCTGAGGCATAAAACTTAAAATACTTTGATCCCTGTACTTCCTTGGAATAACAGTAGAAATGGAGAAGGCTTCAAGGAGTAAGAAAAGCATCAGAGTGGTTTAAATGTGTCCTTTTCTGCAACTCCTGGAAATGCTATGCTGAAAAGACCCATTTAAGGCTATAATTTTTATATCTAGACACATTTCACATGACCTCTTCTAGATAGTGTGCTATTAGCTATCCAAATACATTTTAAAAGTTTACTGGAAAAGATTCTGTGACTTCATGTAGCTTATTTCAGTTCTTACAGCATCCAGGGGAGGCAGAATTATAATTAAGTTCAGCTTAAATACTTGGTTCTGCAATTTAAACTCTTTGGTATTTGTTAAATGCAGAAGAAAATGGGTCTTCATCCCCTGAAAAAATAATGCCATGATTGCTTCAAAATAGCAGCAAATCATGTATTAACACCTCTCTGTTATCTTCATCATCTTCATCTTTTTCCTCTATGTATTTGCTCCTATCACACTGCTTCTTTAATCTTTAGAATTAGTATCTAGATTTCTAATCCTTTTTATAATTTTTATAAAATTATATTAAATTTCTTTTGTGTTCTAATTTTTCATTAAGTCTACTTAAGTCTCAGAGTGGAAAGTAAGCAGAT